AGAGCAGCACTAAAATGGCCTATTCTGTTTTCCATTTTTAACAGCGAGAGGGGGGGAGAAAAACTAAAGCAGACTTGCCTCAATTCTTACAGATTTTTTTTTTTGTTTGGGTTTTTTTTATCAAAACTGTGATTTAGCTCACATATTTCCTATAAAATACTAGCATTTGTCTTGTAAACTGAGAGCAAAATCCATCAGTAGAAAAATCAGATTGAAACTGGGTACAGCTTATTGTGTAAGAACTGTGCTACTTTCCCAAATATTATAAATTCACTTAACTATTTAATGGCAAATGCATGGTGGAGTATGACCATTAAAAGTGCTAATTAATACACTTTCTTATTCTCACAGTTACTGTAACTTTTAAAATAGTATCAAAGTTTGTGAGGCATCTTGATTAATCCTGTAAGTTACAGGAAACTTTTTTTCTTACAGGACAGGCTAAAGGAATAGGATTAGGCTGGTGGTTACATCTATCAACCACATGCATACAAATCAGCCTTGAAACATTTCTGGTTTATTTTTGGAACTGGGCCTAATTTTTCCACACTACAAATAAAGCAGATGTGTAACAAATGCATTATTTATTAACAGTTCTTCCATTATCAAGCTATTATAGCTTATGGTATTAATTGGTCAGAAGTAGGTGATTCTCTTTTGCCCTCAGAGGAGCTACCTTGTAGCACTATATCCAGAGAAATCAGCTGACATTTACATTTCTAATTTAAAAGATGTACTGTGCTCAATTAAGGTACAAAGATTCATTGTTGGTGGTGATGGGAAGGAGCAGGAGGCAGGTGCCTAAAAAGGCATGTTTTGGCTGTATGATTAGGAAAGCCATGAAAATTAAGTTTACTGGTCTTGCAGTTTCTGATGGACTTATCGATTGTATCCCAGTTATAAATGACGCTACAGCTAAATTAGGAGGAGATAAGTAGATACTTTGCTTAGATTGGAATAGGTCCTGTAAGAGAGTCAGTACTACTTTTGTGTTATAATAAAGTATCCCTTTTATTTTTTTATGGAAATATTGTTGGTCTAAGTAAAGTAGACTTCAAAAGCACTGGGTTTTAGGTGAGGGTAGGACTCGGCTAATGTGTACATAGGAGACCACCAAAAACCAAAGTGCTGCAATAAGCCTTTGCTGATGACTGAAGCTACATTATTCACCAGACTGAAACAGCCTGGGAGATGGAGAGAACTAGCAAGGGAAGGCCAGAATGGGGCAAACACAGAACTGCAGGAGGCATATAATATAAAGAAAAGAGATGTATTCACTAGGGACAGCACAGGGAAAGGAGCTCTGCAGAGGTGTATGAAATTTTCAGCTAATAAAATGCTGTAGATTTTTCTAAATAGGAAAATGTCCAAAACAGCAAGTACAGTGGAGTACCACACAGACGAAATACCAAGGATGGTCAACTACCTTTGTTAAAAGAAGCTGTGTATCAGGTTGGGAGGTCAGCCTTACATACAGAAAGATGCAAAACTATTGTGCTTTTCAGACTTACACTATCAGCCTTTTTTTTTTTTTTTTTATTCTTTTTTAAAATGTTTAAGAAGATTTCAATATTAGAAGCCCACAGCTTGGCCTATTTGGTTCTAAATACCAAGATATAAGTAGTGAAACCTAATTCCTTCTCTCGATGCGCTTGGGGATTTGTAATAAATTCACAGAAACTTTTTTGAGAATATAACCACATAAATAATTCACTATCTTTAAGTGGGGATGTGACCTTACAGTAACTTAGGTACTTTGCAGTAATAGCTATGTGAATAAATGTATCGTGGAAAAGCAAGATAATTCAAGGCAACATATACATTGAGTGATTTCATAAAATTCTTAAGTAATTTCTAGCATAAGAAATACATAAAAATCACTGTCTTAACATGCCAAAGTTAATCCAGCTGCCTCTTCTTGCCTATGAAGATATCTGTTTGCAATTTCTCACTGATCATGTGGTTGTACCAAGCTTTTCTTTTTTTTTTTTTTTTTCTCCTATGATCATGTGTTTCCTGGGCAATTCAGAGGTTTGACATCCAAGGCAGGAAGTTCAAAATTTGAGAAAACAGATTTTTTTTTTTTTTTTAAACGGTGTTCAGTGTGTTTTCCACTCAGCAAAACAATGCTTGAGAGTTAAGTAGGATTAAAACAGTATTTCCTTGAGTTCACAACTGTATCATAGGGTATTATGGGATACAAAATGACAGTGGGAGCCTGGAAGAACTAAAATCTCACATCACGGTGTGAGTTTAGTTTCAGGGGGGGCTAAATGGAACAGTGTCCTTCTGCAGTATATTATTCTATAACTGCCCACTGTGGAATCTAAACTTAATCAAATGGTCTTGGGCACTGTTAGAACAACACTACTGAATTAAAGTAGTGATTTCACCTGTATTGGCACTTCTTGTGACTCCTTCAAGCTTCTACACTTGTTCCTTGGTCATCTTTTCCATTCCCCTATGCAAGTTGTAAAGCCATTTGGTCATTTTCTGTTCCCTTCAGGGCTGGAGGAAGTTGTGTTCCACCAGATTCCCTGGTTGCTTCTCCTCCCCCTGGAGTATTTGTACCTGTGAGGTCTGACTCCTCTAATTCTTCTTTAAAGTGCCTACAGCTTCTTACAAAAAGTTAGACTGGTTTGAAGGCTTAGAACGGAAGTAGCAAAGAGCAGAAGCCAATGAGGTATGACCACTAGCTCCCAAATTTCACAGGGCTGGAGCATATAAGTACTACAGAAAAGTAGGGATCAGAGGGACAGCAGGAATTAATGCTGTTCCTTCTCTGTCCTAAGGCAAGATTCGTTACACCTGAACCATTCCAACATACATTGTTTATCAACTTGTACTCGCAACACAGGTGTTCATTGTTGGCTTCAGATCTTCATGTAAAATTGTGAATATGAAGCTGTTTCATTTGTGCTTAGATTGCTGTTACTTTAAATCCTACAACAGAATGAGGCATCACAATAAATGTGTAGTTAGGAAGCATTTTAAGGGACTGATTGTGAGACACGTTTTGCGAGGCAGATTTTATTGGTTATTAATAACGGCAGAGCCACGGTAAGTAAGGATATTGAGGAAGATTATAAGAGTTGCCTATTAATTAGGATTGCACCCTGACTGAAAATGTCAGATGTCTTAGAGCGATGATGTGTTTAACTGCATACATTTTAACAAATGTAGGCACGTGGAAGGAGGTGAGAGGGAGTAGTTTATTCCTTTCCTAGAAATCTGTGGGACAGCTCAAAGATCACTGTAGTCTGTCCCTGGTCATCTTGCTGAATTATAAATTGCAGTCTGTATTTTTAAGGGCTTAGTCTTGTTAAAAACACACATACAGACCAATTCAAGCTCAAAGGTACAAAACCAAAAAAAACTTAACTCTACTGAATTACCAAGATGGGCTGAAGAACAACAGCACTGTAGAATTGGAAGGATGTTAGTACGCTTGCTTGAACAACAGTTCAGCTGATCATGTATTTAAAAGCAGTATTGGATCAAAGCTGTCTAATCACCCATGAGGAATGTCAGCACACAGTATTACTGTATTTTAAGTAATTCTGTCTCTCGAGGTTAGTGTCCTAAATTCAGGGTTGATGTTCTTGTGAAAGCAGGTATATTTTCTGGTTAACCTGAAGAACAATTTTAAATATAGTCATTACTCAGCTGTTAAGACATACTACTCAAGATTCCCCTGCTAGATAGGCATGTGGTGTCAATTTTATTTTAATCCATCTTTCCCTTTCACATTTAGGCTGATGCACCTAACCCAGGGCTTATTCCAGATGCAGATGCAGTAGGTGTAACAGTTGTGCTAATTACATGCACCTATCGAGGTCAAGAATTTATTAGAGTTGGCTACTATGTAAACAATGAATATACCGAAACAGAACTGAGAGAGAATCCACCAGTAAAGCCAGATTTTTCTAAGGTAAGGCACATTTTGTTCTAGTCATATATGGAAGGTATGCTTATAGAAAGAGGTTTTTTAAGAAACAAGACCAAACCCCAAATGATTCTATAAAGTGGATGGAACGAGGCATCAAAAAATGGAAAAGACCTGGGGGGACAAGCTACAAGTGCCATGTAGTTGCTATAAATTTGGAGAACATTGAGAAACCTGCAACAGTGTCCACCAGCTTGAAGGCTTGGCTGGACTTCATTATTATTTTACACTGACTGTGTGAAATAAATCATTGGGTTCCCTCTACCGGCACCACTGTTGACCAAGTGGCTCTGTTCTTCAGAAAAATAGAAATGTTTTTTCTAGGACAGTCAACCTGGAACTAAGTTTTAATGACTGTGTTAAATTAATACTTATCCAGCTCTTCTAGTGTAGAGCTGCAGTTTCTGTAAAACTGTAAAAAACAAACTGAAGAACAAGTTATGTATAAAATGAGAGAAGACGGTAACCTGGTAAAAGCAGGTCGGATGATTAACCGATCAATGGACAACTTGACCAAGGAAGTACACAGATTAAATTTTAAAAAAATATATATCCTTCATGGTAAAAGTGAAACCAGGACTCTAATTAAAAGATGATGGGAAATAGAATTATTTGGAACGTAATACGTTGAGGAGAAGGATCAATTAAACATCAAAAACTAGTCAAAATCCTGTGAAATACTTTAACCAGGGAGACTCTCTATAAATCAACAAAGTTCTATACAGCATCTGGGTTTGTTTTCATGGAAGATTTTATGGAGTTGGGTTTTCTCTTTATGAGAGCTGATGTACATGTGTACACACTTGTTCCAAAGTTGTGTAATGGTGAAAACTTTATTTCTCAAGTTTGCATGAATTATATGACTAATATATGAAGAAATGAATGGGATAATGCATGTACTGTAATGATAAGTACAGAGTAATCCCCATAGTCCCTGAAACTGATCTTGAAATGTAACTAAACTGAATTGGTATGTAAATTGGTTTTTAAAAGTCGCTAATGATTTTCTAGGCTTAATTTTCAGGGATCAGATGCTCAGTATGTTCTCAGAATTCAAAGTTACTGTTAATTTTGAAGATCTTGAATTTATAATCTGTTCCTTTCTTTTTTTCTTTCATTTAAATCATATACTTATTTGTTATTTTGGATTTGAATCCCAAAATGTTGACTTCCTTTAAGCACTTGAATTTAGAAAAGCCTAGAACTACTTGTCTTGATTTTCTGATTTGCTTATGTAAAAAGCTAGCTCTGCTTCTAAGAAAAAGAACAGCAAAAGCTATTATGTGTTTGTATACAAAGTCCTTACTGTGACTTTGGGACAGAATTGAAACATACAAGTAGAATAGAGGGTTATTAAACATTTAATTTTAACTGATGGGTAATAGACCCTACACAGTTCAAAAAAAGAAATGGTCCTGTTAGTTTGCATAAGGGATTGGGAAATACTTAATGAGAGTGCACTTTCTTGGAGAACAAAACCAGCATTACTACCAAAGCAAACTTTTCCTGTGATCAGTCTTAACTTTCATAATGAGTGGCCAATGGTGGCAAGCTGCCATTTTCCAGAGTTAACTATATATATTCTTAAAGATGGTGAAAGGTTAAGAGAAAGAGAGCATTTTCTTTTTTTTGCTCCATACATACACAAATACAACATGTTTTCAAAGGAAAATGAAGGCCAGCCATGAGAATAAAATACATGATTAATGTCTAGGCATGTCTAAATATCCTCCAAATCTAAGTAATGTTTTTACTTTAAAACTTTAGTAGACAAATCAAAATTCAGTTAGTGAAATCAATCTAAAGCATGGTAATTTAATTTAAGGAAAGGCTGTACTCTTCAACGAAGACAATTGACGGAATTGATACAATTACTGCAAACACCATAAAGTTGGTGCAAGACTTTATAAAGTACTGTGGTTTGCAAAGTCTTTGGGGGGGTAGTTATTTGCTTTACTGAAAGCTGGCTAAAATAGTAAACACCTGCAGTTTACTTGCAGAGTTCTCATACAGCCTTGAACTTGCAGGACAACTAAAAATATGCTCTTGAGAAAGCAGTTATTTTGCTGAGTAGGACATTAGAGTGCATAAATGAGTGGTGTGTTTCTGTAAGCATGTTTCTGACCCATAGATAGGTGCTGTAGAGTCACGTTTATATGAATTACCTTTTTAAACAAGTTGTTTTACACATACAAGGCTATGGGGAGTAAAAGTAAACAAAAAAATCTGCATACATGTGGACTCCAGATTGAGATGTACACATTACATAATCCATGTATTTTCTTCTCTCCCAGCTTCAAAGGAATATTTTGGCATCTAATCCCAGAGTCACAAGATTCCACATTAATTGGGAGGACAACACTGAAAAACTGGAAGATGCAGAGAGCAGTAACCCAAATCTACAGTCACTGCTTTCTACAGATGCATTACCTTCAGCATCAAAGGGGTGGTCAACATCAGAAAATTCATTAAATGTTATGTTAGAATCTCATATGGACTGCATGTGACTAACCACCATCATTTTGGTACTGTACATGTGTTAAACTGTAAAAACAACCAGAACTATTTCCCTCAAATTCCATAAGTACATAGTTGACAAGCAATGTGAAGAACTTGTTTTAAAACATCCTGTAGAAAGTTTATAAAAAAAACCCAAACAAACCAGTATTTGAGCAAATTGTGGAATATAAATACAACTATTTTTAAGTAATTGCCTTTTTTCTCTAATGTGTTATTCTATGTGGTCTAAACCAAACCTGATTAAAGTATACATATTCTCCCCCCTCCCCCTTTACTTTGTAAGCACTATTAAAAACTAAAAAAAACCTGGAAGTTAAAACATTCAGGCAAAATGAAGGGATAATGCCACATCCTCATCTCTGATATCCAGATTGCCAAATATAAAGTGCCCTTTAATAGCAGTTTAAGAACAAAACTGTCATTAGATGAAGTGCAAAGAAAAAAGTATCTTAAAAAAAAAAAAGTCCAAAAATGTCCTCCTGCTGTGAAAGCAGGCAGCACAGTATAATTTTAGGTGCAAGCTTCTTTTCCTTTCAAGGCACATACTTGTTACTTAAAGCATGCAATTTGAGATTTACCATCTGCTATCTTGGATTTTAGGAATTTTTTTTTTTTTTTAATCTCCTGCTGTTTAGTCAAACTGGTTTAAGGACAACATTTCATGTGAATTTGGGTGGGTTATCTCAGCAAAGAACCCTTTTTCAGCCACCTGAATAGCATACACAGTTGATTTCAAGGATTCAAGCAATTGCTAGAAAATTTAAGCATCAAAAGGAATAGCTTGAGTACCCAAAAAATGGTCTTCTGCAAGATTATTGGGGGTTGGTATGTTTATTTCCAGGTATGCTTTATTCTTGTAGTCTTTTTAACTAGTAATAAGGAGGTTAGATGCCTTCTTTCAGTTTTTTGAAACAACTGGAATTTAAAACTTTTCCCTTTTCTCTCTATCCTTTAAGGAAATCCTATGCACTGGCATAAATCAAGATTCAAACCCTGTTGTGGCAGACATGACACACTCAAGAATACATTGCCTGCCATGAAGCTCTTGCACCGAGACATCCCTATTACCTGAGGCATCCTTGAAGATAAAAACTAGGCAGAAAATTGTAAAGACTTAAGACATTATTATGACACTAACACTTGAGTTACTCCTTCCAGTCCTCAGCAGCCTTATAAATTTCCTGTGACTATATGTGCATTTAAAATTGTAATCTGTCATGTCAGATTACAAGAATATATTTCTGCTAGTTACTAGTAACTGCCCAAACTGTAAACCCTTGTAGGTTCCAGGCCCTTAAAAAAAAGAAAAGGTAAATTTCATGAATCCTCTCAGTATAGCTCTAGATAAAAATAGAACACTTTCTCTTCGCTTTCTGCAATCTCTAATAGGGATGAAGATGTCCCAAGCAGTTAGCGCTTCTGTCTTTCCACATCATTAGTGAAACAGTCTTAACTTCCAACGTGTATTTTTTAAATGAGAAAGGAATGTACATGTGCATGTTTGTTTCCTGTATGGAAACTCAGCAGTACGGATGGTAGCTGAATGAATTAATGAAATCCATTAGTATTTGGAACCTAATTCTAATATGTGCTCTTGCAAATATCTCTGTAATTGTTTAAAGTGATGATTGGCAATTTAAAAATATTAACACTAATACCTGTATGACTTAACACAAAGAACTGGTCCCCCAAACCAGCAGTTACTTCACTTGAGGGCTGAAATTATGTGAACTTTTAAGACTGACCTTTTAATTTTCAGTTATGCTGCAACTTTAAGGTGTACAGTGACATTTTGAGATTTTTCATGCGCTTTACTGTTCTATTTATAAATCTACTTAAGTTCTCTCTTAAACATAAGCATGTAAATAACTTAGTCATCTGCTGAAAGGCTAATGACGGCTGCCTTGCACTACGGTGACTGTAGTAGTATTTCAAATGCTTGCACCTATTGAAGATTCAAATGAAAACGTGATCAAATACAAGCTGTAACCAAATCCATCCATCAGTAGCATGAAGGCTCCTTAGAAGCATATGCCACCAAGTGATGGAAGCAAACTGTATTACTGCTATTGCAGAATCAACTACAAAATACAGTCTGCAAAACTATTTCACCCAGCAAACCAATTAATTTAGAGAAATCAGAAAATGAAGATCTATTGTTCTGTTCAGGAGAAAAAAAGACAGCTGTGAACGTGAACTCAGTTGTGATAAACTTCAAGCTAGACCGGATGGTGTGATTCTGCAGTAGAATTGGGCACCACCTTACCTGATACACTAACACATCCTAGATACAGCTGGCCCACCAGTTATGGCAAAAAGAATAACCTTACTGTGCTTGGTGAAAACCAGAGGAGAAAAACCGTACCTCATGAGAGCACCTCATGATCTTTGCAAGAGAAATGGTCGTCTTATAGCTTTTTGAGAGACTGGATGCCTCTCAGGTCTTCTATAACTTTGCTCAGATCTTAGCAGTCCACACATAGTGTTCTGAATTTGCCATTTCCTGGCAAAATCACATTCCAGAGACGTGGAATTTGAGAAACCAAATTCCAGTATTCCAGAGGCTTCAGGTCTGATCAGGCAACATCACAGCACAAACTTAGCATTAAAAGATACAGTGGTATTAAAGATACTTGGTATTAAAAGATACAGTGCATATACGGCATCTCTGTAAAGACTTGTCCCTGATCTCTGGCAGTTTCAAACCACAGGGCTGTAAGTATGAAATACAGACAGTGCAGACAGCACAGCATTACAATTTCAAGGTCGAAGATGAGTTTACCTCCATTTGCAGAGACCACCAAGATGCAAGGGAATGCTACAGATTCTGTTGGCAGGACTGGTGATGCATCTCACTGTCTTTTTACCTCAGCCAGATAGACTCGATGCCATCAGACGATTGTCATAACGCTTATCAGAGGCTACTCATGTACAAAGAAGTAAACGGATCAGACACGGTAACATTAGGGATGAAAACCATGGGTGGGGGTTTTTATGTCTAGCTTGAAAAAACTTGTCCCTTCATCTTACAGTCATTGTGATTTATTCATGCATCACCTTCAGCCTGAATTACTGTGACACTCTTGAGTTTGTAGCAGGCAAAAAGGCTCCAGCCCCATCATAATGGAGGCTGGTGAAATGTAACCTCTCCCGTGGTTCTACAAAGCTCCGCTGAAAAAGCCGACCATTACTATCAATCTTCAAGACTGCAGCAACTCAGAACTTTGCTACAATAACCATGGTAGCTCAGTTTATAGCTCGCCAGACAATCTGTATTCTTGAGATGTGAGTGACTAAGTCACAAAGACAAATCTGATGATCTGACAGTCCATTATTTTCCTTTGTAGGGCCTCAACCACTGATTTTCTGGAAGTCAGCTCAGATTGGAGGCTAGCCGCTTGCAGCTGTACAAAGACTGTCTGCTGCCATCTGAAAATGGTGCAGGGAAGAACAAAAAAAACCAAACCAAAACACCTTATGTACACCACATATACTCTTGGCAAATTCTCATTTACCAGAGACAGAAAAAGAGCAAGGTTAACTAAATCTTGTGGCTTCTGTCTGGGCAGCTGCAGGAGATCCTTCATGTACTTAACTACCCTACCCCTTATCCATAGCACAGTGGTCTACAACCTTGCAGATTCTCTCTCTCTTTTTTTTTTTATTTTTTTTTTTTGAGAGCCACAGAAGTTTGGTCCAGAGATGATGGGTTAATCCTGTTGTTGCTAGCTGGAGGGCTCTGCTCAGTGCCAACCGGGAAGATGCAACAAAACTGACAACTTCCTCTTAAGGGCTGGCAGCGTGGAGGGCACTGCTCATGCTAGGCCTTCCCATTTGTATTTATGTTTCCAGTTAAATTTCTGCTTTGTAAGAACTGGTCTTGTAGTGTACAATATGACAGCTGGGCTGCAGAAGACAGGTGGAGGGATTTTTGTTGGATTTTTGGTCTAGGCAAAGAAGAATGCCTAAAGAAGAAAAGCCAGCTGGAGTCACCAAGGAGGTGGTTACAGGCAAACCCCAGGTTTGTACCTGGAATCTAGAAAGAAAAGGCCCTTTCAGGTGGGGGTGGAGGGAGGATACTCTTCCAACATTTCCAGCCTTCGGTAATGCTGGCTTGGAGGCATGGCTGCGCACTCGCTGTCCACGGCATGAGGGACGTGACTGGCCTCCCTTGCAGACAGAGGAAGGAGGTGTGTGTCCTGCAGAAGGGCTATAGCAGAGGTAAGAGACAACAGCTGTGCATTAACAGCAGTGTTAAGGACTGGCTGCAATGTCAGGAACTTTGGAGGAGTTCTTGGGTCTCCCTCCAAAATGCCCCTGGACCACAAGATAAGGAGGCCTACCTTTCAGCATAAGGGGGTCCTCCAGTTTGTCCTGTCTCACTAGAAAGGTGTGGCATACCTACACCGATACAAACCAGGAAGGGGCTTCATGGCATCGTAAAGGGAATCCTGAAGACATAGGATATCCAAAAATCAACTGCTTGAAATGCCTGCCATTTCAGCAGCAGGCCAAAAAATTCTGATGAAGGCCTGCCTGGATGTATGATGCCAGAAGCGCGTAAGACCTGAAACCTTCAGCCAACATGACGAAGATGTTGCTACTGCAGTATTTCCTGTCCATCCTAACTACAGGTCTTCAGATACAGATATACGAACAGTCCAGAATTTCTGAAGACTGTTAGCTACATGGCTAAATACTCTTTTGCATGCAGGTAGTCAAGGTGAACTGTCTCAGGACAGAACCACCTTGGAGCAACATTACTGAGAGGAAATTAAGGATTTGCAAGAGATGAGACATTGTTACAGACGTGGCATATCTCTGATGAGGTCTGATAACAACTTCAAAATTAATTCCTTCAAGAAGTCTAGCAGACTTCCTACAGAATTAAGGCCTCTTCAACTTGAGGCCCAACTGTTTAAGGAACAGCCAATGAAGTCTTGTTCTCCGGAATGTATTTTCAAGGTACATGCTGATAGAAAATACTTCAAGTTCATGTAAAATTATGAATATTCAGGAAAACAGTGAAGAATCCTGCGGTAGAAGTTAAGATCCTAAAAGAGTGGCCTAAAGGCTGCATCTCTTAATAACCTGATGAGGGCCAGGGTATAGATACGCAGTGGTAAACTGCTAACATGTTCCCCAGCACTGCCTTGGCCGGTATCAAGTTGGGAAGGCCCAGGAACAGTTTGGGGATCTACAAACAGGGAAAAAGATCTCCCATTTCAGTGTCTTGCATACCTCAGGATACTGACACCACACATTCTATTCCCAACTGAGGCTGGATGGCTCATGCCAGCCACTTTGAACTGGTTTCTAATGTCTCAGAAGAGAGACAACTGTTGGCACCTGAAGCTTGCCTAGCAGGGAGATGCTCACTACGAAAAAGAAAATTGGTTGTTTCCCCTTGAGTTAGTTGCCTTCAATGAAAAGGAAAAAAAAAAGTAGCAAACAGCTGTTGGCATGATATGGACAATGTTAGATGTTGCAAAATGTCAGCAAAAAGGCAGTACTCAAGGCTCTGTAGAGGCTGTAAGAGGAGAGGCCAGAAGGCTGCATTTCATATGGTTCAGGAAGCCAATATTGTACAGAACTGGAGAGCTGGAGAAACAGCTGATACTCTCCCAGATTTTTAGACAAGCTGTTCTAAAAACAGTTCACAAAATTCTTTAAGCAGTCCATCTGTGGAGGGACACACCACCAAACAAAACTTTGCAGAAATCTGAACAGCCAAATATGTACCAGGAAGCAGCAGGATGACTCTGGTCCATGAGCTCCAGACCCAGCAGCAGCAGCAGCCATGTGTTGGTTCCCATCCCTACGGAGTCAAACACACCACTGCGGATCTCAAGCTCCAGGGGAAAATGAAATATTTTCTTACTAGTGATTGTCTCATCCAATTATGCACAAGCAGCGCTGTGGCTCTGGGGACTGCAAAACAGTTGGTTAAACTCAGTGGTAAGGTAAGAAACCAACAGAATTTGTTAAACCCCACTAAGTCTCTTTTTTCTGGAAAATTATGTATCAATTTATAAAAATTAAAGGTACCTGAATGACTCCCTGTCATTCTCAGACGAGAGGCTGGGGGTACAATGAGCCAGGCCTTTACAAAAAATAAGCACTGTGTAGACAGAACCAGACAGTGAGACAGATGGTTCCCCCATCTTTCATTTACAAATCAGAAAGTCCTATAGCGGTCAAAGAAATTTTTGCCATTGAGTTGTTGAATGTGGGCTGGCCTTCTGGCTGCCAACTTTCATTAAAAAGATGTGGGAGGAACAAGCCCCAGTTCCTCACAGAAGTCACAAACTTGCAATGAATTCTCAACAGAAAATCTCTACTAAGCGTTCACAAGAAAGGCAACCTAATAAGTAAACTCAGAAACACTAGCTAGAGAGTGAAGGTAAAGTTCTGTTTTTACCCACAACACAGAATAAATTACTGGTCATTTGCAAGGGCTGTTTGCAGGAAGCCGTTGACTTGAGCCTGTCAGCGAGATAAGAAAGATGAAGATCTTCCATACCAATTCACTAGAACAAGAAAGCAAGGTATTAGTCTGGGTCAAACCTTCTGTATCAGGCAAAACCCATGTGGTGAAGCACAGACTTTGTTTAAAAAGCACTGGGGGAGGCAGGAACCTGTTTGAAAGAGCAGAGGCCCAACAGCAAATCAAGCTGTGGAGTGAGGTTGCTGTTTTCTCAAATTCTGCGAGGCAATTCCAGTTAGGGGTAATGGGCTGCAGTGGGCACATGGCACCACAGGGCCCCAGAGGATCATAGTGGATCTCAAAGCACATGATACCTAAGGTAGGAATTTTGGCACAAGGAGAATGTTAAAGATCTAATACATTGTCCTGCTACTAATAAATGCCACTACAGAAAACTAGGGAAAACTGATATGGTAAGACAGTTTTGGAAGCAGAATTCTAATTCTACAGTTGATAAATAGCTCGTGTCCGAAACAGCACTGGATGGGTAAAGGATACAAGACATGTTGATGCACAAAAGCTTACTAAAGGTTGGTTAGTTATCGGCAGTTTTCTCTAAGCACTTCTCCAGGGCTTACCAAATCTCAGGGGTGTTTTTTGGCCTGCGTGGACTGTAATCCCAGAGCCAGCAATTAAACTGCAGTCCAGTCAGCTTTTTACATAAAGGAACTAGTTGAAAGTAGAACTTACAGATTTAGTCTTTGTACACTGGAGGGAAAAACGTGCATTAGGACTCCCATGAGAAAGTAGAAACTTGTAATTTGAAGTGTGCAATTATGACAAGGAAAGTAAAACAATTTAGTAGTTCTCTGAACTCATGATTTGGAGCTTCTGCACAAGAAGTAAGTTGGCAAAAATCAATGTTAGGTACAGTTACAAACATATTCATAAGTAAGGCACTCCTTGCACAGGGAAGGCAGGGAAAATAATTCAAACTATATCCAAACTCCTGGGCTACAAATTAACAATTTAGTCCAGCAGTTCTAGCCATGGAAAGGTTCCCTGAAATTAAACTACAGTTAATAAAATTTCCTTCTAGGGACTCAAGTTTCACTTGTGATAAGGGTCCTGCAGAATTTTAAGGTGGAAATTTAATGCACATGCTGTCGGATTTCAGGAAGGGGAGGGGGCAGGCAGAGGGAGAAGCTTTTTAAAATACAAGGAATATTTAAGTGAAATGTAGATGATCTAAAGACCCAAGACCATCCTTTCACAAGATGAAACTCCATCTCCACACATCATTACAGCTGTCTCTATGGCACACATACCACAGTAAGCTTGTAAACTGCAATACTGGTTTTCAGGGAAATGTCTTTGAACCTAGCTATCATGGCTGAGCTGGAAACCAGATCATACAGAAAATGGAGCACAGGAGGTAGATGTGGTGAAAAAGGCAACAGCAACATCAGACGCCAAGAGCAGCTGACACAGGGAGATTACTACTGACAAAAGTGGGCAAGGTCACATTGAAATGCATGGCAAAATTTCACTCCAGGTCACTGTCAGTCCCCTAGCAAAATTTAAATTATCCAGCCTGTTCTCAGTTCTTAACACAGAACAAAAGGTGGAGAAAAGGTTATGCTGAGCCAAAATGTTCTCTCTGGCTTCTCTCCAGACCTATTTGTCAACAGTTTGAATGGAAAACCAGAGGCATATGTGTTTCATAACAAGTTCCCTGCACACAAGAGTGTATATGTTCAACATCACATTCCACTTCCACAGCTACAGAAGACTCAGTATACACATGTACCCATAGCTACAGAACTGGGAAAGACTTATTCTCTGGTTTTCCCATGTATAAATAATGCTGTTTCCCAGACATAAAATGAAAAGCAGCACTATCTGAGAAACATTTAAGTTACATGTGCTAGCTAAGACTCTGGGGTTTGTCCCTAATTATTTTGTGATTTTGAATGTACTAGCAATATAGTCATTTCCTCAAATAAAGCCCTTTGCAAAAGTAATCTGACCCTGTACATTGTCCCCAGAAGAGTTTGTAAAGACACCTAGCATTCAGAGCCTGTTGGGGCATACCTAAATTTAACTCCCCTTCCTCCCTCCTTTCCCTCCTGCCCCTCCCCCACAAAAGCTTGCTCTCTGAAACCATCTTGAAAACATCAAACCATCTTTGTGAGTCAGAAATAATTCCTCATCACAGGGGTGGATTTCCAGAAAGTAAGCAGAAATCAAACTGGCACCCAGCCAGAACATATAAAAGAACAGAAGAGAGAAGAGTGTATGTTCAGGAGAAACCAAATGATGCTAGCCCATCACACAGTATGAGCTCTGGAAGGACGTCAGATTTGTCATAGCTGGGAAGAACACTAAAAATACAGGTCCAAATCATCCTCTGCTAGCAAAGCACTGAGAGGCGCCTCTGGATGAGGCTTGTGAGGTTCCCTGTTAGAAGCTCATCACACTGCTCCACTGACAGAGAAAGGGCAGGACTGCCCTTCTGCAGAGAGTCACGTCAAGCCTCATACGCCTCCACAGCAGTTCTTTGCTTCAGCTGTGCTCATACAACCTGAGCACACATGTTCACGTATGTAGGAGGCCTCTATATAAATATACTCCAGCAAAAAAAGTTAAGCATTCCGGCTGAAGCAGCACATACCTGCACTTGTAGATCCAATTCCTGCAGTAAGCACAGACCGCGGCATAATCTTCACTGCGTACTTGAGAAACTGAGATTTCCCCGTACCTGGGTCTCCAACCAACAAAAGATGAGATTCACCTTGGGGGAAAATGTTGGTGTAGGAGTAGACGGTTCACATGCAGAGAAAGATATACACAAAATGCTCCGAATCAGGTAATATTTCTCATTATTCACCTAACATTTAGTACTACATATACATTACAATATGTAATTCTGTTTAAGACTGCATTATTTTTTGGGTATGATAAATTATATTGTTTAATAAAAGCATCCAGTCATATTGCTGCACCAAATATTTACAATGAAATATTTTTAAAGCATTAGCAGGTATTTGACCTACTTCCCATAATGTGAGTTCTTACACTTCAGAATACTAATTTCTCAGACTCAGCTCACTCTTGAACATGAAACAGAAGGATACCAGGGTTTAGGTACCACTCCACTATTCAGTTACTTAAATTACTGTGAAAAGGACTAACAAAATCAGCAAGTTGTTTTTCTTAACTAATTCTTTTACATTGCCAACAGCTACACAATTTAGTAATATCAAAACAATGCAATTACAGAAGTAAATAATTTAGCTACTACAGTCTCACTGAAGTGCTCTAAAATTATTTCATTGTCTTCTACAAAACATCAATGTAACTTGAATTCAAATATAAAGTGTATAACCTTATTTAGCTGCTGGAGCATTAAGAAAATCCTCCATTTGTATATACACACATATTATTTTAGAATTATCATGACCTACATAGATTATGACCTGTGTACCACCTGGCACATGGCATATTTGCCATCTAATAACAACAGAAGGAGAATCAGCAGGCAGATAACTTACAGTAACAGAACTAAGTGAGATGTGCTGACAATCACAGATGGAAAAGTCTGGCATTAGGAAGTAAAATGAATCTTTTAATTCTTCCTTTCAGTGTACTATAGTGATCCACATTAAGGAAACATTAATATTCCATCCGTTGATGCCAAATACTGCTGGGAATATTCTACTAGAAATCATTTCAAAGCATCACTTATACAATAAAAAGTGAGTTTATGCTTTACCTAAACCAACTGCCTTTAATATTCTACCTAATGGAATCCTGAATGCCTGCTCTTACTGGGTTTTATTCAGGAAAAATTAAAATAAAAAGAGGAAGTCCAGACACTCACTTTATTTGTCAGAGATTCTGAAAGAATACCCAGCATTAATCAAAAATTGCTCTCACTCAAGAAAATGGGATCATTATGCTTCTGAAACCTTACTGGTTTGATTTTGAAGGGGGGGAGGATGTGGGTGAAGACAGGGATGGGAACAACTGTTTAAAAGGATGTGATACAAATAGAAACAATACTAACCTCTGATTCGAGTTCCAGTAGCATCAGTCCTCTGTACACCACCGGCAAGCACCATGGCTACAGCCAACTTCACCAGGTACAATCCAAAAACTTGAGGACATAAGCTCGCCAAAATTTCATTCCTCCCTAGAACAGAAGCAAAAAATGGCACTCAGCCCTAGGAGTAAAACTTGGTTTCCCATGGATTCCTATGTACACTTAAAGTCCTGCCTACACTGACAAGTAATTGTCCTATGCCCACAGTCCTATGTACACTCACAAATAATTTGGGTGTGCTTCCTGAACAAGAGGAACAGGGCAGAGAGGAGATTTTATTATTATTATTATTATTATTATTTATTTATTTTTTAAATGGGACCCGAAGGAGTTGTTTGATCCTAACTTCTTTCATTATAAAGAAGTTAAGTCTTCCACAGTCACAAGCAGCAAAGCCAATTCTATTGCAATTTAAGGAACGTATGGTCTGGATATCATGACAAAAGGCACTAACAAAATGCCATCATGCAAATTCTCGTTTCACAGATTAAAATGTAGGGGTTATGAAGAATAAAACTTATAAGTTTCCAGACCCCAAAATATCCCCTTGAAAACTGGTGTGTTGTACATTTAAGAAAGGTAAGAAAACATCTAACACTTGAAGTATTCTGCCCTAAAACCCTGCACCCAGAGTATGGTTCATTTTCTCATCATTGTCTCGAACCTCCTTCTCCTTTGACCCTTCTCTGTCAAAAGTCTCCTTTGATCCTCTCCTGCTCTCTGCCGTAGTCCCTTTCCACCAACAGAATATTTCAATCTCCTATGATAATGCTGTTGGCTAGGAAGGTGTGTAACAGAATCAATTCTGTCCTTCAAGATTCTGATACTAACATAAGGGATCACAGGTTTAGTACCATACATTACTCCCATTGCTAGGAAATTACACAGAGTGAGCAATTTGGAGTTCTTAACCGATGTTTTAAGTTTAGATGCAAGTACATGGTACTGGCAAAATACACAGGCACCTAATAGATGCCTTGAGGCCTACATGTTTCTTGTGGAGCTCTTCGGAGGGAATTAACACATCTTTGTCCAAAAATGAAATTTTAAAAACTTTGGTCAGCCATAGCATGACTCAAGATTTAACTCCACAGTTGCCTCTATTTGACTTCAGATTCATTTGCCTTGCCAGTGCTGAGCAGCTCAGCAGTACTGCTTCTTTCTAGAGAGTATCCAGAAAAAATCACCTGCATAAGTTCTCTCAGAGGCCTGCCATGGTAGACTTTCTCAGGACACCTAATACACAGCACCAGGAATTGACTGACATAAAATGTAGTAGTAACTACCATTATCTCTTGAAAACACCAGATGTGCATACATCCTGTTGTGAAATGGCCTACACCTTCGACTCCTTAGTCAAATTTGATCTCTGCTCTCACCCGAGGGGACTCAAATTCAGACAAATGGCCTGAAACAGACATCTTGGGCAGTCAGGGCCCTTCCAATTTCCACCTCAATTTTCTTGTAGCCACTTCTTATAAATTAATTTATTCTGAGTGGGTAATATTGCGTGAAACCACATTGCTCCCTTCAGGCTTCCAAAAATTGTTCAGAGAATGAAAGATTAAATGTGACCTTCAGAGAGGAACCTGAATTACTTTCTGAACAGTTCTAACCAGGATGATAAGAAATGTTCTCGTTCCAAACAGCAGGAGGCTAGCAATTAAATTGCTTTCCAGGAAATGGAGTTCTGAAGAATCTTTGCTATTGAGAAGATCTCCCGATTTCTTATGCAAGCACTCAAATTTTTAAGCTGACATGGGCAACATTCTCACCTGCTTTTCCTCCTGTTTGTCTTTCTTAAGAAACACTAAGCCCTTTTCAGGGTTTTAAAAGACAGGGTGTTAGCCTGAGACTGTTCAGTGACAGAGATCCTAAAGAGTCCATTGAGCTTCCCCAGGGTTCAGGAGGAAGCACTTAGATTATGGAGAGGAACAAAGTTCCAGACACAACTCCTGCTAATTCCTAGGTGGTTGAGTGGAGGCCATGGTAAATTTAGAAGCCGGTGTCTTAAAGACTCTGGCTGTTCTGAATTGGGAGACTCTCTCCATATATGATAGGAGGGTCCACAGCACCTAAATCAAGAGTCTAGGCATCCAAGAGTTAGGTTAAAGATGAGATGTGCTAAGCTCTGCAGTAAAGATTCACAGCATAATTTGGGATGCAGAGATGGTGAGTCAGATCTCTCGCCCCAGAGTCAACAGCTACACTGACTAAAAGCAGATCTGGTCTGCACTATTTCTTCTAAGAGGTATGCTTTTTCTTTCTTAATTATAAAGCGCTTTTCTTTTTTTCCCTGATACTTATATTATTTCTCATGTCTCGTTAATAAATGTTCCACAAAACACTTGACTAGAAAGCTCAAAAGAAGGAAGATCAATGCAGTGTGTTTGTTACTTCTTTTTCCAGTAATATTAAAGCAAGAATTTCACATTCTTGTACTGGAAAAGGTATACTTTTGGAGGAATGGGTGGTGGGATAGGATAATGGGGGAAAACTGTGTTCGGTCACCGTATTTTCACTCCTGATTTCATCTATATCCAAACATGTGTCCTACTTAAAAGCTTTCAACTACTAACCTGCTAAAGGATCATTCCTGTGCTTTTCCCAGAAGCCTTCAAATTCCTTGCGGACTTCTTCATCAATTACAACCCCTGCTAGCTGCTCATTGTTTACTTTAACATAGTTGGCCTTCAAAACAAGCTGCAAGTCACAGCGTGCATCCTCATGGAAAGGTTTCCACCTCTGCATTACCACTCCATACACTGTGATGTCATCTCCTGGTGGTAACAACAAAAATTAGTAAAGTAGCATCTGACTTGAGATATGCAGGTATGTCAGTTAGCTGTAATGCATAATAATTCAATTGAGATCCTCCGTTACAGTTAATAAGGTTAAAAAACCCCAACAACAAAAAGCAAACCTCCTGCAACTACTGGAAGCCTAAAAGAAGCATTAGGTAGATTGCTTATGTTTGTGGTAGGAAGTTGCTATGCCTTTCTACTTCCGTTTAAGGTAGGTGAATTCTTAAAGGTATACTTCTGCTTGTTTCCTCTTTTACAAAAGAGGAATTCACAGTAAACTGCAGAAGCTCTTCTTTCAATTATATTCACAATAAAAAAATTTAGTCAAAACTTACTTGACTTCTGGTAACCTTTGTAATTAATTGGCCCCTCACCACAAGAAAGACGTTGCATTGCTGGAACATGTCCAGAGGAGAGCAACAAAGCTGGTGAGGGGTCTGGAGCACAAGTCTTATGAGGAGCGGCTGAGGGAACTGGGCTTGTTCAGCCTGGAGAAGAGGAGGCTGAGGGGAGACCTTATCGCCCTCTACAACTGCCTGACAGGAGGCGAGGTGGGTGTCGGTCTCTTCTCCCAAGTAACAGGCGATAGGCTGAGGGGAAATGGCCTCAAGTTGCACCAGGGCAGGTTTAGGTTGGACAATAGGAAAAAGTTTTTCACCGAAAGGTTTGTCAAGCATTGGAACGAGCTGTCCAGGGAAGTGGTTGAGTCCCCATCCCTGGAGGTATTTAAAAGACGGGTAGAAGAGGTGCTTAGGGACATGGTTTAGTGGTGGGATGGCAGGGTTAGGTTAACGGTTGGCCTTGATGATCTTAAGGGTCTTTTCCAACCGAAACGATTCTATGATTCTATGAATTCCAGAATCACTTGTTAACATTCTGGTCAATGTTCTTCTGAGAAAGTACAACCAGAAATTAGTTTCTTGTGGGGATGTGCCTATCTCAGAATTTTTAGTCCATCCTTCATACATCCTCCTGCCAATTAGCTTCCTTTTTGAATGTCAAGTAGCTTTTTCCATCTCCAGCACTCCTTAGACAGGAGGTCAGGTTGCCTCACTCTCTGAACGTACAGAGGGGCACCACACCTTCAAGTGGTTTGGTGTTCTCACACCAACAAGACTTAATATACTTCCTGTACATCAGAACACATTACTTATTGAAACTGATCTGTCAAACAGTCAAGATGTAACATGGGGATGTATGACATTTTCTAGAATAGCCTTCACCTGCCATGCTAACGTTCAAGCTGAAACAGCAATGCAACAGATGAACTTATCTCATTCATCAAGGCCTCAGCACTGATCACCTGCTTGGCAAATATTCATCTCAAATGGGAAAATAAAAATGCTTGCGGTACAAACATATGCAATACATGACATAGCCTCACCAGACTTGCAACTGTCCACTAAGTCATCTTCCAGAACAACCACCATGCAACGAGGGATGCTTCCAACAGACAGTCTTTGAACCTAGGAGACAGGAAGGAAAAGCACCTTTCAAAAGCCATTTATGGCTGCTCTGGCTTAAGGACCCACATTCTTTTCCTGGAACTGAGATCAGTCCTTGCTTTTTCTCACAGAACGTACACAGTAAACATGCCACTGCTGCCATGAACTTAATAATGGAACCTTAATGCTTGTACTAATGGAAACAGGATTGGGTATTAAATTAGCTAAAGGTGCTCAACCCTGGGAGGTGCTGTGTGATTTCAGTATCTTGCTGAAGAAAGCTTGCTAAAAGAGGTAATTTGAAAGAGCTGATTTTTTTTTTTTTTTTTTTTTTTTAACAATTTGAGATATTTTTAGATACTTCCTCAACATGCAAAGTTTACTTTGGGTACTGAAGCATGTCCGTGGGTTATATAACCCTTCACTGAAGTATTGATTGAAAGATTATTCTCTAAATTTTTCTGGTATTTAACCATAATTTGACAGGTTGAGATACAAGTTTACACCTAGGTGTCAAGGATTAAATCAACAACAGGAACAAACAAATCACACACAACCAGACAAATGTATATTGACAAATGTGCCAGGAACTCCTGTAATTCATTTTCTTTTCTCCAGGGACTTGTCACAGTCTATTTCCAACCAGCAACCTTTCCATTTACACTTAAAGCTTGCAGTAGTTTTTAGAATATCCACTGCACAAGAACAACAGTCAGAAGCACCTTTTCATTCTGCAGCACAGGTCATATGTGCTAGAATTCTAGATTTATTCACTCTCTACTGCCTCAGAAGGTTAATTCATCCTTGTGTGTTATCACAATGGCCACAGGCAGTTCACGTCACTGTCAGTACTGGTGGCACATACGCAGTTACTTGCAGAGCTCAGTAGGAAACACAAGTGAAATTCATTCCTGGTTTAACTTTACTGTGTTTAATAAGCCTATGCTGCTGAAAATCCTTCCCATCACAGATATCTGTGTGTCACACAGTAAAGCAAACAAAAAAAAAAAGTGATAAAACCCATACGTCATAATACAAACATGCAGCATAGGGCTTATTTTCTAGAAACAGTTTTATTCCCGTACTTTTTTTTTGCTATTCTGAACTTTAAACAGCTTCATTTCTAATTTCATACATTTCTGTTTTATATACCTTGCATGCAGATTGGCACCACTACACTCTTAATTTATAAAATCAAAACCATGAAACAACCAAAGAGATCTTAGAAAAGATTTATGAAAAAGACACTGAACATATCAATAAACACAGAAACACTGCCTGCAGTATACCCTACTTATTCTCAATTTTCATACAGTGTAGATTTTCTCGTGCCAGTCTTATCTTAGTTATGCACTACCGTTAGAAGATTATTTCTTCCTCCTCCAGCTTAGCTGAACTTCCACCCAGGACTACCTTCAGAAGAACAAATGCAAATTCTGTGAAGAGCACATATTCAATAATTGTTGAATTCAATATTGGCTGAAGGGAACAGACATTTGCAGACACCATGCATTGACCATACTGCACCGCTACAGCTGGCCTTGGCCACCACTGGGCTAGCTTTAGTCCTTCGAGGAACAACACAAACTTGGTGTTATAAGGATTCAGCGTGGAAATTTAACCTGTACACTGATCCCGGGTCTTTTGTGCAATCTGGAATGGAGTTGCCTAATAATGGAAGTCTAATCAACAACTTAATTCTGACAAAAGCATGAACAGTTTCACTAAAATTAGTGGAGTCACCTTATTCCAGCAGGAAATCAAGCCTCCAAATGCCTTCTTTATTAAGTTCATTCTTTTTGTACTTGAGACATCTATACCTCAATACCCTCCCCTTTTTCCTCCATCTGATATTTTTTTTTACCTGTTCCTGAATTTTGATTTCTTGGTAGTCTCTGCAGCAGGTAGAAGAGGTTGTTCCAGAGAGACACGTGAACTTGGTTGAGTTGCAGCCTTCTTCATTAAGACAGGCTGACGGACGACAGAAGGCATAGTACTGTTCAAAGTCAGCCTTGACGACAAACACGTGCTTGCACTTATTGCAGATATAACTCCGTTCAAACTCCAAAACTTTCACCAAACTGGTACGTATGACAGTCCCAGTAACAGACAAAAAGTGACCCACATCCCTGGTTTTAGGAATGTGCTCTCGAGTCAGCTCTGGGCAAACAGGCAAACCTGTTAAACAAAAATATATGCATCATAAGGCTCTGCATATATAACATGAACTCACAGTGCAGTTAAACAGAAAGACTAGAAAAAAAAATATGCCAGACACATTAACAGTAGCCCTTGTTATTACTGTTTCAAAAATGTGATTCAACAACTCACCTGGTGTACCATAAACCTGACTCACTGGCCTCAGATACTGAAAACAATCAGATGCTGAGCACTAACAGAAAATGTTGCCATTTTACTCTCCTGCTTGTGCCAAGGGTTGAGTAGTCACGAAGCAGTTCCCATTTGTGGAAATAGATCCCGATGTTCTCAGATCTGTTTATTAATTTAAACGATCTTTTGGCAAATGCCATTTATTCTACAACTGGTTTATCTGAATTACAAAATTATAGTTATGCTACTTAATTGTGGTTCACTGTTATTCCCACATTTAAACAAGTGTAACTCCTAATCTTGTGTGAATTCTCAAGCCTAAACAAATTTTAAAGTCATAGTCTGTGAGCATCTGACCTTAAATCCACATCGCATGCCAGTAAACCTCAAGCACAAGGAAGATGGCATAAAAAGAATACAAGGGGGTTATGAATACAACCAAAGCAAACTCACTTGCACGTTCAAAGGAACAGTGACAGAACATTTTCGTGGCACTTGCTCTCCTTTAATTCCACCCCAACGGCCAGTTCTGCCATGCACTGATCCCGCCCTGGCGTTCACCTGTGTGGCCATCACTTAGCACCACAGCAGCTGAAATCCTCAGGAAGAATAATCTACCTCAACCCCCTACCAAGTCTTTATAAGCGCACACCTTAGGACAGAGTCGAAATGTTGCCTCTTCAGAAGTTTGTGTATGAACTACAAGATACTAACAATTATCAACTTAAAAAGAAATCACCTGCTCTTAAAGTAATTTCTTGGCTTTCCTTCCAAAATAGAGCTAGGAAAGAGAGATATAAAATAATAAATCTGCTGGACAGATGATGTTTCTAAGGGGACCAAAACTATTTGTGCATTTAGGTCAAATCTTCTTATTAGCTTTGGCTGCTAAAAAAAAAAAGACCTCATATATTTATGTCAGCGTTTTCAAAACCAAATGCTTTGTTTCAGACGTGCTGATGCTTTTAAGCACTGTTTGACCTTTTGCTTTTGTTTAAAGAAAGTATTTTTAAATATTAAGCTAATTTTAAAAGGTAAAAGAATGAAGTAAAAAAAAGTAAAGTAGAAAGGAATTAAATAATCTGGAAAAGAAATAAAGTATCATGCAGAACTACAAACAAATTTTTCTGGTTGACTGTAAAAAAGCTATTGACATATTCTACCAAACCCGTTGAAAATTCTTTTTCTCCCACAAGCTTACATTTCTATTCAGTTTGGGCAAAAAAAGATAAAATCCATTATTTTTTCCAACTGTTTTGGTGTCTTTTTTTTCCGCCAGCTCAGTGCTGGTGCAGCTCAACAACCTTTGCAAAATACAACACATCTTACACTAGAGAGAGCTGCAGCACTGTTGTCAGGATATACAATACGATCATCTCTGTGAATACTGAAGAGACAAGAGCCTGGGCAGGGGGAACAGGAGCCTTCGTTCTGATCATACTAGGCTGCTTGACAAACTCTTTATTTGAGTATGCACCTCTGAGTCGGCTTTGCTATATGAGTGGTAACGTGCAAAACAACTATCCAGGAGCAGCTCGGCCATCAGTAACAGACACAGCAGCGTTCAGGCTGATGGTAAGTAAAGAAAAATCTTTTGCCAGATTTGTAGCAAAAGGAGAAATTAATACAATCAAATTCCTACAGTGCAAAAATACAGATGAAGAACCTAATCTTTTACTTTCTTCAGTGAACACGGGGTAATCATCCACTATTAATCACTGCGTATTCACACTCCCCGAGTCCTTCTTTGAACTCCTAGACGCCCTGCCCGTATTTGTATGAGTGTGCTAGGATTGCATTCTTATACCTAGCATAAGCAAAACCACTTTTCCTCACGCCTGACACACCGATCCCCGCGGCCCCACTCCAGGTAGCTGCCTGCCGCTCCCCCCAAGAAGAATACACCACCACCTCCTCATGCCCATCTGACATGGGAAAGGGAAGCGGCACTCCAAGACAAGAATCCTGAAGGTAATCAGAACCCAGCATCCACTTAAAAGGTAACAGTGTCACAGGAAAAAATTCAGGCGGAAAAAAGCCTACAGATCGTTTAGCTGATTGCTTTTATTTCCTCATCAGCCAACTTTTCGGCAGTACAGAATACAAACCAAACCACATGGACAGATGTTCTTGTGATCCAGCTGGACCACGCGAGGATAACCACCCCCTGCACTTCATCAGTTTCTCTCCTGTTTAGTGATGGACTAATTTGTGAGTCTGACAACTGACTTTTTCCATCAGTGATCAGTCATGCTTGCTTTTATCAGTTATTAGAACTATTTGACCACACATGCCTAATTTTGGCTGAGGCTGATCAGGGAATATTCAGACAAAGCAGCAGGGTGGGAGGAATGGTCAGCTCCAGCACCTGGCTGATAACAGGAGGAGGAATGTCTTAAAGACACTGCTACTCATGGAGCGACCATCTGCCCCTTGCTTTACACCTCCTAATACTTCCTGGTAGCTTTTAAAATAATCATTCTTGGAGTAAAAATAACTCTGCTTTCGTGTTGAAGCTCTGAATGATGCAAATGCATCCTAGAACACTAGGGGGAAAGTTTTAATTCACTCCAACTTTTACAGGTACAGGGAAGTCCCTGACATTTCAAATTTTAATGCAACACAGAAGCCACCCTTTTATACCACATACACAGTTCTGTAACACCTAAATGGGTAGCGAGCCTTTTTTTTTTTCTCCCCCTCCCCCTAAAAAACTTGAGAAAATAGCATTATGAGAGCCACAGGCTAATTATATTTCTGATGTATGTGTTTTAACAACAATATTTTTAAGGAAACTTACTGGGACAAAACATGAGTCTATTTAACAACTGTGATTCATCCAATTTCAACCTGCCAAAAGACTTGAATGTTCATAAACCACTCCAATGAGGAGCAGGGGAGGGAAACACAGGCCACCAGCTCTTGGCTCTGCAGACGAGACAGGTCCAAGTACCTACAGTCAGCAGTGACCAGAAGGGACTGTGCCACTGCTGACCCAGCTCCCCACAACAGGCGGAACAGGCATTTTAACCCCGGAACCCGCACTCCACACTTATCACACCTCAAAGCTACCAGAAATTCCCTAGTAATAAAGAATAACGCCATATCAACTGGTAGCGAAAAAAGGACAAAATCCTCTACTAATGATCATGCCTTCCAACAGCTCATTCCAATTTTATAACAAGTGATTTTGTAACAATTAGTTAAGCATAAAATTTGACGATTTCAGATTAAATTGTTACAAGAAAACTCAAAATACAGACTTTGCCTCTTCTGGGAGGTGGCCAAAGCCAAGAAAGACCACAAGCCAACAGACACAGTGAGGAAGTCAATCTGCAAGAAAAATCTGTGAACTACATATCTTCCCCTAAAATTTTTTCTTTCTTTAAGACCTTTTGGCTACCAAGAGAAATAATGCGAGACCAGCCGCTGATCTGAGGAGTCTTTTTGCCACAGAAAGGCTTTGGTGTGAGTCCTGACCCGGCAACAAATGCCCACCGTTGCCCGCTCGCACGCCATCAGGGACGGCCACAGCTTTTTTCCGGGTCGGTCTACACAGCTCCACGTGTTCGCACGTGTTCTTGCGTGTTGGCTGAACACCAGCCGTTCGCTATTGGTTTAAACGCTGAAACGGCAAGCATTAAACTTGCTCCTTCCCTTGACCCCCAACACTTTGTTGCAGAAGAAGGGAATTTGGCAACGCGGAGCAGGAGATGCCCCTGGGGCACTCCACCGCCG